GCTTGTATACAATTTTGGGGCAGTTTTTAAGCATTTTGCCAAGGTACCCAGGAAAAAGCCTGAAGGTACCCCAGTGTGCCTGGGCACCCTAGTTGAGAAAGGCTGAGCTAGAAAAGGAGTTATAGGAAATAAATTGTAAAGGAGTAAATACTTTATTTGCTAAACAGGGGGACTGCTGCTGTGTGAAAATTAGATGGACTTATCCAAGAAAAAAAAAAAAAAACTAAATAAAATACCATGCCATCATCACAAATATGAGTACAATACTTTTCACAGTTTTGCATTTTTCCAGGATCTGCTTTCTTTGCAGCTTTCTGCATTTGTTTGCACACATCTCAAAGCTGTAAAACAAAATGTTTTTAGATGGCAGCCATCCCTCTACCAGACTCCTTGATCACAGGTCTGAACAAGTGTGATGGCCCGGGGCGGACTGGCCATTTGGAAACTCCGGCACTGCCCGAGGGCCTGGGGTCAGTAGGGGACCCCATGAGATGTTCCTGGTACCTTTTTCATAGGCTTTTTTAAGTTTGGGCAAGGACACAGGGGCCCCATGATCCCCTATTGCCCAGGGGTCCCATGAGTTGTCAGTCTGCCCCTGGTGATGGCTAGATGGTTATGTATCACCCAGCAACTGTCATTGATTGTGGGGGTTCCAAGACACATTAGTTGCTCGGGGGGGAAAATGGAAAAGGACAAATAAAAACAAAAACAAAAAAAATGCAACAATGAGCATTTATCAAGAGTTGAGAATATGGGAAGTCAGGGTCTTAGGCAAGGCTCACAACCACCTGCAGCCACATTGCACTGCTTTGTAGAGATGCACGGGGCTGCCATTCATTCTTAATAGCACCCTTACCCATCTCAATCCGCAGTACTTTTGTGGGTGCAGGAACTGCTAGGAAATCACCTACTGTAAAAGCACCATGTGATTTCCCTGTGGCTGCATTTGTTTTATATATTTTTGCGGGAAATGCAGGCATGCCAGCCTATTCAAATAAATGGCTGCCATGCCCACGCAAACGAGGGCTGCAAACCTGTACAGATGTGAACCTAGGCTTAGGGGGCTCCAAAATAGTATAAGACGCATAGAGCTGCAGCTTGGCTCCGCCCCCACTCGCTTTTCATTGGCTCAGCCGAGGCCCCTGTGCACATCGCTGGATCAAGAAGGGGCTCAGGTGAGTATAAGGGAGGGTCTTCTCTCTTCTAAACTGTCTTATCTCTCCACTAACCACAGCAGCTTACCAGTCCTGTGTCCTTCCCACCCTATTGGACCTATCACAACTGTAGAGCTACCAGCTGTTGTAAAGCAGATATCCCATTTTCTATCCAGCCAACATGAAATAACTTGCATTCTCTTACACAACAAAAAATTATCAAATTGCACAAAACACAATAAATATTTTTGTGCAAACAGTAGATAAAGTATAAAAAATATTTGGTGCAAAAAATCATCAAAGGAGACCAAGGGAAGGGTACTAATTAAATCTAGGCAGAAATAAGAAGGGTGTTAAAAAGGAAGACTTTTATCTAAAAAAAAAAAAAAATACATAATCGTTTTATCTACTTCCAGGTTTATATGCACCTGTACAGCACCAAAGGATAAGGGTGTAAATGCAGCATATGACCTCAAAATACTGACACTTTTACTGTGGGTATAGAAAAGAATCACCCCCTTTAAATAATTACATTTTGTTGCATTGCAGCCTTAAATGAAGACAGACACAGTTTTTGTTTTATCTAGCTGTATTTACTCAGCTGACCATAACACCTTTTTCCATGTGGTCTCAGAATTCAAGGTGAGTTTTGGCAAAGCTCAGTCATAACTGCATGTGGCTGTCAGGAGCCGCAGTGGCGTGTGGCTCGGCGCAGGCACAGTGTGCCGACTCGCACTGGTGTACGGGCACTAGGTCCTGGCCGGCCGCGGCGACGGAACTCACGCATGCGCACTTGGGACCGCGGGTGTGTGCCTGGCACCAATGACAGCGCAGGGGCGCGGTATTTATATCCGCTCTGCGCTGACACTGGTTGCTGTATGGCCTCATCTGTTGTTCCTGATCCTGTATCTGTGCTGATTGATCGTTGCTGACCCGGATTGTTCCTGACTGTGCTGTATTGTCCTGCTCTGACCCCTGGCTTGCCTGACCTCTCTTTTGGATGCCCCTCATTGGATCTGACCTTCCGGTACTGACCCGGCGAGTGACCCGACTACTCTTTGCATGCTGCCTTGTACCGCGCTGTTCCCACGGTTACCGACTCGGCCTGTCCGACCACGCTTTTGCTCAGCCATCCATTCATCCATCCTGCTCGGACCCATCCGCCTCTTCACATCAGGCTCTCATCCTGCAGATACCTCTGGCGGATCCCCTCTACCATGGGCGGGTGTACTCAGGGGCCGCGACCTGGTCTCTGTCTGCTCCAAGTCCATCCCCACCATCAGGGTCCCTGGTGTACAAGCAGACTGGGACTTAGATTCCGCGCTCTGAGGAATCCTATTCCGTGGGTTGCTAGAGGTACCGCCAGGTGGTTCATTACAGTGGCCTTTCTTAGTGAGTGACTTTTCTCTTTTAAACCCTCCTATACAAGCCACATTTGTGGAGAATTGGTGATATTGTTGTGACATGAACACAATCACCACGTCATAAATTCCTACAAGTGCTGTAGGCCTCTTCGTAGCCTCTCCGACCAGTTTCCACCTGGCTTTTTCATCCAGGCTGGAGTGACATCCTGATCCAGGGAGGGTCTGTGTTGTACCAAATACCTTCCACTTCTCAATAATAGAAGTCACTGTGCTTCTAGGTATTGATAAATCCTTTGAAAATTTTTTTGTATCCATCTCCTGACTTGTGCCTGTCTACAACATTATCCCAGAGATATTTTGACAGTGTCTTGCCACCCATAGTTGTCTGTTTGCTTCACTTTTACTACCAGGTATTCAAATGCTGGAGGAAAGCTATTTTCATGCTCAGCTAATCAAAATGACCACAGCTGATCACAGTTGAAAGTCAAATGGCTTGGCGAGCCATTGAGAATGTGATTAGCTACACCTGATTGAGTTTGCCACTCATTTTTAGGAGGGGTGATCCTTGATCCAACTTGCGCATTCTGTTTTTGTTGTTTTTAAAAAAAAAAAATTCTGACATACTGCTGTTATATCTTTCACTTGGATGTTATAAGTTGCAGTAAATACAGCTGGATAAAACAGAAAACTATGTCTGTCTTCATTTCAGTCTGCAAAGCAACAAAATGTGATTATTTTAAAGGGGGTGATTCTTTTCTATACGCATTTTATATCCACTAGGACAGGGGTCTCCAAACTTTCTAAACAGAGGGATGGTTGCTATTTTTTGTGCAGTTGGCTAAAGAGGGCCAGTTTACTGTCCTCCATGATTTAGGGGGGCCAGACTGTGGCCAGTTGGAGTATATAATGTCCCATTATTGGTTTTAAGTCAGTGGGAGGAATTGTACCCCATTGTTGGTGTCAGTGAGAGGAATAGTGCCCATCACTGGTGTCAGTGGAAGGAACAATGCACCATCATTGGCCTCAGTGAGAGGAACAGTGCCCTATCAAAGGTGTCAGTGGAAGAAAATAGTGCCCCATCATTGATGTTGGTGACAGGAATAGTGCCGTATCGGTGTCAGTAAGAGGAATAGCATCCCATTGTAGGTGTAAGTGAGAGGACTAGTACCCTATTGATTGTGTCAGTGGAAGGAATAGTGCCCAATAATTGGGGTCAGTTGGAGGAATAGTGCCCCACGGGCCAGATAAAGACAAGCCAAGCGATGCAGTTTGGAGACCACTGCACTAGAGAAACCTTTTGCAATTTTATTTTAATCTGTATATATGTGTAGTGTTTGTATTACCTTGTTAAAGAGTCATGATTTGCCCCATGGTCAGTTAATTGTTTGTCTAAAGGTGCTTATGGTAGTGTGTTACAGACATAAATGATCCTAAGTGTGATTTCTACTCTTCCAATAAATATGGAATAATAGATTTAACTCCTAACCCAGGACAAAATGTCCTGTTTTTTGTTGCTTTCTAACCTGCAGCTAACAATGCTACATCTAAATTTTGGAAAGCCTCACTATAGCCCCTAGAACAGGGGTGTCAAATTCCAGCCCTCCAGCTGTTGCGTAACTACAAGCCCCATCATGGCTCTGCCTTTAGGAGTCATGCTTGTAACTATCAGCCATGCAATGCCTCATGAGACTTGTAGTTCTGCAACAGCTGGAGGGCCTCAGTTTGACACCCCTGCCCTAGAACCAATATGATCCTCAAAACACTGCAAATCACTTAGGATTTGGGGGCTATTCAAACTTATGCATTTTATAGTGAGTTTCCACATGTCACAGAAGTCTGTTTTTTTGTGGTACAATTTCACATATATGTAGTGCGCTAATCAAGTAATGTAGTTACATAGTTAGGCTGGCCATACGCTATGCAATTTTTCTGTACAATTTCTTCCCAATTTCCTTAAGATTTACCTCCAACTGCATAGTGCAAGGGCCATCCTAATTGGATACAACTGAAAGTGTTGTTTGGGATTGACCTCCTATTATATGGTTTTTGGTAAATCTAAAGCAAAAATCTCAAGAAAATTGTACAATGTATGGCCAGCCTTAGTCTGGCTGAAAAAAGACAAATGTCCATCCAGTTCAACCAAAAAAAAAGTTATTATCCTACACCCACAGTTAAGTTGTTCATGTCTTTTTTTTTATTTGTCAAAACACTGTACATGGGCTTTTCATGACTGCAAATGTCAACTCACATTGGCACCTTATAAAAATACTGCAAGGTTAGTAAGTGTGAATAATCTTAATGACCTGACAGAGGCAGATGATTCAAACTGTTGAAAAAGCTCAGATGTATAAAGTGTTTTCCTGTATCCATTTATATTAGAGAGAGCAAACTGAAATTTTAGTTAGTGTCGTACTTGTATATAAAACAGCAGAAAACAATAAACTGTCAGGTCACAAACAGAGCAAATGTTAAGGACACTTACCTTTCCTACAAAGTCTGACAGGTTAAATACTGCCATTATGAGGATAGGAAGCCATTCTCCCATTGTACAATTCCTGATTTCTGACTCCAACCCAGGAAAAAGGCACAGAGTAATGAAGTATGTTACAGAGATAGACAGCATGTATGCCCAGATTACCTGTAACACCTGATAGCGATGAAATATCATATCTGCAAAACATGTAAATTACTTTATTAATATCTTACATATATTAATAGCATTGTATACTGACTATAACAATTTCAATTTATTCGGTAAATAATAAAACTGACTTGTCAGAGCTGTTTCAACGTGGCACATCAGTTTTGTTACGGGCTAGTTCACACTAGATGCAGTCCAGTGCATTTTTTTTCTGCATCAAAAATACATGCACAGTGTTTTCCATGTATTCCAATGGCCCTATTTCACACTAGTGCAGTTTCCGGTGCAGAAAAAATAAGTAGAACATGCTGCATTTTTTCTGCACAGAACTGTACTGGAACATAGCAAATTGCATCAAAAATGCACCGGAACTGCGTGTGGTGGGAACTGTAAGCAAAAACGTATCTGGAATGCATCCAGAGTGCATTTTTGTAGTCTGAACTGGCCTTAAGGGAAAATATAATTTCCTTGTTAATTATATACATTGCACAGACCTAGCAAATTGTGGATACATGGTTGGCTGTAGACTGGTTCACTCACATATCTGCACTAAAAACCACTAAGAAGACCCGTGGGTTTGCAAGTGTAGGTGAAGTGTGGTGACAAGGAGTGGTCTCGAGGATGTCTAGGTGTGTTGTCTAATATTGCATCACACGTGACCAATGATATCTAATGTTTACCACTGCCTATAATGTACAGATCAGTGCTCCAGGCTTACATGTTTGCATACAGGTGCTGGAAACTTTACTGAATTTGTGAGCAAGCAGTTAAATGCAAAGGTCATTTATAACCTTCACATTACATTACATGGCTTTTTAGCAATTTATAGCATATGTTATATTATTGTTGCAATTAGGCTTTCCTTTAGGACTGGTTCACACCAGCCACAATGGGGTGCATTGGGCAAGGTTGCCAAATGCAGTCCCAATGCAAGAACAAGCCAATTTGTAATACACAGTTAGGTAGTTATAAACAGCTATAGAGATACAGTGCATTGGCTGATGTTGCCACCCTAGGACAGGACATGTGTTACTGGTAAGATCACAGGTGAAAATAAAAAAAAGAGAAGGCAGAAACTAAGAAAACAAATTCAGCCACCACATATAAGTACCATAAGCTGCAATATATTACATTTTTAATTTTTGGGTTTAATTATTTGTTTTCAGGTTTAATGTCTTAGATGATTCAGCTGTAAAAACACTTCACACACCAAAGCAATTTACCCATTTGTCTTGCTGAGCTTGGATAATAGTTTGGATATGGGCTGAAAGTGCACACTATCAGGTTTAATTTGAGGGTATCTACGTCCACATTGGAGGAAGGGTTTAGGAATTACTGCTCTTAAGAGTAGCCACCCCCCCCCCTTTTTCAAGGGACCAAAAGTAATTGGACAGTTGACTCAAAAGCTGTTTCATGGCCAGGTGTGGGCTACTCCTTCATTATTTCTTCATCAATTAAGAAGGTAAAAGGTCTGGAGTTGATTCTAAGTGTGGTGTTTGCATTTGGAATCTAATGATGTGAACCTACATCATGTGTTCAAAGGAGCTGTCCATGCAAGTGAAACAAACCATTGTAAGACTTCAAAAATAAAACAAATCCATCAGAGACATAGCAGCAACATTAGGATTGGCCAAATCAACAGTTTGGTACATTCTGAGGAAAGAAGAATGCACTGGTGAGCTCAACAATATAAAAAGGCATGGACGTCCACGGAAGACAACAGTGGTGGATGATCGCAGGATCCTCTCTATGGCAAAGAAAAACCCATTCACAACATCCAGACAAGTGGAGGACACTCTCCAGGAGGTGGGCATATCATTGTCCAGGTCTACAATCAAGAAAAGACTTCACAAGATGGATGAAACTAAGATTAATCTGTACCAGAGTGATGGGAAGAAGAAAAAAGCGTGGAGAAGGCTTGGAACAGCTCATGATGACGCACACGCTCATGATCAAGCACAAAACGTCATCTGTAAAACATGGTGGAGGCAGTGTGATGGCATGGGCATGTATGGCTTCCAGTGGCACTGGGTCATTGGTGTTTATTGATGATGTGACAGAAGACAGAAGCAGCCAGATGAATTCTGCAGTGTTCAGAGATATACTGTCAGCCCAGATTCAGCCAAATGCAGCAAAGTTGATTGGACGGCGCTTCACATTACACATGGACAATGATCCAAAACACACTGCAAAAGCAACCCAGGAGCTTTTACAGGAAAAGAAGTGGAATATTCTGCAATGGCCGAGTCAATCACCTGATCTCAACCCCATTGAGCATGCATTTCAATTGCTGAAGGCAAAACTAAATGCAGAACGACCCACAAACAAAGAACAACTGAAGACAGCTGCAGTTAGGGCCTGGCAAAGCATTAGAAAGGAGGAAAACCCAGTCTTTGGTAATGTCCATGGGTTCCAGACTTCAGGCAGTCATTGCCAGTATAGGATTCTCAACAAAATATTAAAAATGAACATTTTATTTATGATTGTATTCAACTGCCAAATACTTTTGGTCCCTTGAAATATTCTTAAGAACTGTAATTCCTAAACCCTTCTTCCAATTTGGATGTACATACCCTCAAATTAAACCTGAGAGTGTGCACTTTCAGCTCATATACATTATATAATTATAGCTTGAATATGTTTTGGTAAATACATGAAAAAACCTAAACTTGTGCCTGTGTCCAAATATATATGAACCTAACTGTACATTCCACATAAATAATTATGCTACCAAAGTTAAAATTGTAATGTAAATTGCATCCAGCATTGTTTCCTGTTTCTTTTTGCTGGAGGCTGCCAATTTGCTGAAGCCCAGAGCCCCTGAACAGCAGTAAATCTTTAAGCTGTTAGCAAATCGGCCTCTACAAATTTGGCACAGAGCTGAAAAATAGGGAGCAACGGAGCATGTGCAGAGCAGGGTGAGACACTGTATTACTGGATTTTAAACAATATAAGCACTTATTTGTAATGTTTTACATAGCTATACCTGCAAAAGGGGCTAGCCTGAAGTGATCTAGTGGGACTTAATTTTCTGATTAAAGTTCTACTTTAAATAAACAATATAGTGAACTACTCTGTCAAAATATACAGTACACCAGAAAAAAACAATCCTTACTTTAAAGGATTTGGATTAGCAGTGTTACGCCATAAATCTACAAATTCATAACTTACATCTAATATTTGTAAAATTTTCCGAATAAAGTTTATTGCTTTATGACCCTTGCTATTCCTTTTGCTACCCCATCTAACAGTGTTAGCACATAGAAGCTTGTTCAAGTTCTCTATTGTTCCATTTTTCATGTCACAGCTCTCTTGCTGTGGGAGGGGATCGTGCTGAAGGGAGGGGATCATGCTCTGCTTCAGTATGTCACAGTACAGGTTGGCATTCATGGTTCCCTCAATGAACTGTAGCTCCCCAGTGCCATCAGCACTCATGCAGTCCCAGACCATGACACTCCCACCATCATGCTTTACTGTAGGCAAGACACATTTGTCTTTGTACTCCTCACTTTGTACTCCTCACCTGGTTGCTGCCACACACGCTTTACACCATCTGAACCAAATCAGTTTATCTTGGTCTCATCAGACTACAGGAAATGGTTCTAGTAATCCATGTCCTTAGTCTGCTTGTCTTCAGCAAAGTGTTTGTGGGCTTTCTGGTGCATCATCTTTAGAAGAGGCTTCCGGGACGACATCAATGCAGACCAATTTGATGCAGTGTGTGGCGTATGGTCTGAGCACTGACAGGCTGACCCCACCACCCCTTCAACCTCTGCAGCAATGCTGGCAGAACTAATATGTCTATTTCCCAAAGACAACCTCTGGATATGACGCTGAGCACATGCACTCAACTTCTTTGGTCGACCATGGCGAGGCCTGTTCTGAGTGTTAAACTGTATGGTCTTGGCCACCGTGCTGCAGCTCAGTTTCAGGGTTTTGGCAATCTTCTTATAGCCTAGGCCATCTTTATGTAGAGCAACAATTCTTTTTTTCAGATCCTCAGAGAGTTCTTTGCCATGAGGTGCCATGTTTGAACTTCCAGTGACCAGTATGAGAGAGTGAGAGCGATAACACCAAACCTAACACACCTGCTCCCCATTCACCCCTGAGACTTGTAACACTAAAGAGTCACATGACATCAGGGAGGGAAAATGGCTAATTGGGACCAATTTGGACATTTTCACTTAGGGGTGTACTCACTTTTGTTGCCAGTGGTTTAAACATTAAAGACTGTGTGTTGAATTATTTTGAGGGGACAGCAAATTTACACTGTTATACAAGCTGTACACTCACTACTTTACATTGTAGCAAAGTGTAATTTCTTCAGTGTTGTCACATGAAAAGATATAATAAAATATATACAAAAATGTAAGGGGTGTACTCACTTCTGTGAGATACTGTGTGTGTGTATGTATGTATATATATATATATATATATATATATATATATATATATATATATATATACATACATACATACATACACACACACTATCTACACCCACCAATGATTGAAACACAAACCACCTGTGTACCAAGGAATTTCCAGGCAGGATCTGCAAGACTGTCCAAATTTGTATACAAAGGAAGGGGGGGGGGGTCTCCAAGGGCTATAATTTTTTAAATATATACATTTATTTAATTTAAATAAGCATTTAAGATGATATTTTACATGTGGCTTTCCTTATTTCAAAATGTATACTGGGGCATTTGCTGTCTGGTCTGTTGGTCACTACTACAATGTTATTATAGCAAAGGAAGGCTACAAAACTGTACCAATTCCTGGGGAGGGGGAATATCATGTGTAAATACATATATAAATAAAAAAAGCAGAAAATGTACATATGCCTTAATTTTACCAATGCCTAATGTTTAATAGATCTATATAATAGTGACATGAAGACACTTGATTATGTGTTGGCCCACATAAAAATGCAATGTATTCACAAAAATTGAATGGAAATGTATGAAGTAACCTTTAACCACTCGCCCTCCTGAGGATTTACCCCCCTTCCTGACCAGGCCATTTTTTGCATTACGGCACTGCATTACTTTAACTGACAATTGCACAGTCATGCAATGCTGCACCCATATGAAATTTATTTTTTTCCCACAAATTGAGCTTTCTTTCTGTGGTTTTTGATTGCCTGTGTGTTTTTTATTTTTTGCGCGCTAAAAAAAAAAAAAGGCCAACAATTTTGATAAAAATACTATATTTTTGACTTTTCGCTATTAAATATTTCCAGTAAAAAAATTTAAAAAATCAAATGTCATCATAAATTTAGGCCAAAATGTATTCTGCTACATATCTTTGCTAAAAAAAAAAACCCAATATGTGTAAATTAATTGGTTTACGTGAAGTTATAGCATTTACAAATGGCAGTATATATAATGGGATTTTTAAAATTTTTTTGTTATTTTTATTAATAATGGTGGTGATCAGCGACTTGTAGCGGGACTGCGGCGGGCATTCTGACACTGGGGGGAACTGATTTGGCGTCACTGACATCCCCAGTGACACCAATACAGTGATCAGTGCAAAAAAAAAAGCACTGACACTGTACGGCACTGGGCAGGAAGTTAACATGAGGGGCGATCAAAGGGTTAACTGTGTGCTGTTTTACTTGTGTCTGTGTGTGTGTGTGCTTCACTGTAATCACACTGCTTTGGAATGTGCTGTGCACAGCCATCCAAAGCAGTGTGCACAAGCTGACAGGTTGGAGAACTGTATTGTTTACATACAGTTCTCCTCCCCATTGGAGATGCTTGGCAATCACTGGGGTGCTGGGGAGTAATCACCGGCCTGGACCTGGTGATTGACAGCAGCGGCCGCGAATGGTGGCGTGCAAACACCTCGCATGCGCCCCCTACTCGGAAATGCAAAATCACATATATATATGCCATTTAGTGCACCCGTGCTGCCCTGTAGCAGTATATCTGCTATAGGGCGGCCAAGAAGTGGTTAATATCAGCTATGCACATAGTAATTTTCAGACAATTTCAACAAGCTTTCGCATTCACAGGAAAACAAAACAAACTGCTGTAATGTGGGGGACCTGACTCACCTCTCTAAACCAACTTCAGAACTTATTCCTTGTCCAACTGTAACATCCAAATACAAAAAAAGAGATCCTTTACAGCCAGGCTGAAAAATCTGAAAGACTTTATTCAACATAACAGCAAATAAAGCCCATACTAGGCTACAAAAAATTTTTTTAGTAGCGTACTGTTGATTTATTGCTGTCATTTTGATTAAAGACTGCCCGGTTTCTAGACCTGGTTGTTAAGATTCTCTTTTGTACTTGTAAGAGAGTGGCTGTTACCGAGATAGCCGCCCACTCTGTGCCTCCCTACTGCATAGCAACACAAGGGATCAATCACAGATAGGGAGAAGAGAATCATGGGACATGTAGTCCCCAGAGGCAAGAGGCCGATTGGCAATAATGGGACTGGAACTACAACCACCAGCTAACTTTTCAGGAGAGAACCAGAGTGAAATAATTATATACTTCCTGGGCAATTTTGTCTGTTCAGAGTGTGACAGGAGAGTGATGTTAGAGGACTGTGCTGTGGAGCTTCATTTAGGAGAGAAAAAGTCTGTGTCAGCAGAAGCCCACTGCCATGCAAGGGACAACCAGAGGTTAAAGAATGACCAGATTTAGTGGAGGGACAATGCTGCCCACCAGAGCCACCACGGACAACCCAGAGTGAGCAGATATCCGATCGGAGAGACCACTGCTGCTGTATCGCTGGGTCCAGTGAGAGGGCCTTGTGGCTGCTACTTGTTTATCACTGTTAGAAACTGAGCCATTAGGAATGACTGGGCTACTTGTTACCACCATTAAAGACTGAGTCATTAAGAACTACCTACCAGCTATTCCACAGCCCTAATACTACCTGCAGGCCCATTGACTGCCTTAACGCGCCATGGGTTCCAACGTATATCTGGCTAATGAGTCAGGATTAAAGATTGTGCCTAACAATTGCTGCCTTGAGGTCTTGTTTTGTTTTTTTGTTAAAGAGGTACCTCCTAGGAGATGCTGCTTACCAGTCAATCCTTTAGAGTGCACTATAACTTAGTGTAGTGTTATTATCATTTATACTGCATTTAACGTTTACTAATATTATTTGTTGCCAATTTACTAACTTACCCTTCTGAGTAAAGTTAGGAGTATAAAAATCTAATTTTTGCCAATTTAACATAGTTATTACTCTGTCTAGCAGACTGTGCTATAATCTATCAACTGTGATTGCAGTGATTTTAGTCAACCAGGTGTGTGAGAGGGGCCAGGTTTTTCTTGGAGTTGAGGCACAGAACAGGGAACCCAAAGTTACCATGTGGCTCCTTCTAGGGTAGTGCTACAAATGTGATCTTACTAATGCACAAAGAAGAATCCATAAAAGTTCTGTTATAATAACATTGTACATCTGATAAAACATTAAGTTCGGTGTTGCTTACCTTTGAACTTGGGCCAACTGCTTTTTACTTTAGGTACTGGAACATCAAACCTGACATATGTTCTTCTAGCTGTTACATCTGACTGTAGCTCTATGCTATTTTCAGCTGCAGCACTTCTACTCTCCTAAAAAGACAGTAAAGCACTTAAACATGAATTATATTATTTATTTTGCATAACATTTGTAGAAGACCATCACTGAAACAATGCAATGTTTCTAAAACGGTGCTGGGTGAAAAATATGGATTTTGTACACTTTGGGGTCTATTTACAAAGGTCTTCACACATTTTTCTGATTGGATTCAACTGGAAAAATGTATGAATCCTGGGTGAAAATGTGGCGTCATTTACTTTACTTTGTGCAAAATGTTTGCGAATGGTAATAAAGTGCTTGCTGCTGGAAGGCACTCTGTATTTCAGCACCCAGCACTGAACAAAATGTCTGTAGTTAGTACTTTCAGGTGGAGTGTTCTGCACTTAACAGTACAAGTTCCCACTGGATGTGGTAAAGAAAGAGGGAAAGCGAGAGCAGCATGGAAGCATGTGATCAGGTAAAAACCAGCAGTGCAGGGGGTGTCATTGAACAGCAATGCAAGATGGAAAATTTTTATGCTGACCGCAACTGCTCTAGGTGTTTAATTGTTCTGTGTTCTATTGAATCCATCTTTCTGCATTCCATACCCCTTGATCAGCTGCTCCCTTATTCTCTGCTCTTCTTTTCATTCCATTGAGGCAGCCCTGCCTTGTGCCCATCCACTCTCCCTCCAGCTCTCTTCTATATGATGCTGGCATCAATTTCATCCATATCTATCTATCTATCTATCTATCTATCTATCTATCTATCTATCTATCTATCTGTCGTTAGGTCCATATATATTTGGACACAGGCATTTTTTTTTTCAGGTACTTACCAAAACATATTCAAGCTATAGTTATATAATGGATATGGGCTGTGTGGCAGCTGCATTTGGAATCTATTGCTGTGAACCTACATCTTGCGTTCAAACGAGCTGTCCTTGCAAGTGCAACAGGCCATTGTAAGGCTTCAAAAACAAAAAAAATCCACCAGAGAGATAACAGCAACATTAGGAGTGGCCAAATCAACAGTTTGGTAAATTCTAAGGAAAGGAGAATGCACTGGTGAGGTCAGCAAGATAAAAAGGCACAGATGTCCACAGAAGACAACAGGGGTGGATGATCCTCTCTATGGTAAAGAAAAACCCATTCACAAACCAGACAAGTGAAGGCCACTTTTCAGGAGGTGGGCGTATCATTGTCAAAGTCTACAATCAAGAAAAGACTTCACGGGAGCAAATACAGAGGGTTCACCACAAGGTGCAAACCATTCATAAGCCTGAAGAATAGAAAAGCCAGATTAGACTTTGGCAAAAAACATCTAAAAAAGCCAGACCAGTTCTGGGAAAGCATTCTTTGGACAGATGAAACTAAGATTATTCAGTACCAGAATAACGGGAAGAAACAAGTGTGGAGAAGGCTTGGAACAGCTCATGATCCAAAGCACACAACGTCATCTGTAAAACATGGTGGAGACAGTGTGATGGCATGGGCATGCATGGCTTCCAGTGGCACTGGGTCATTGGTGTTTATTGATGATAAGACAGAAGCAGCCGGATGAATTCTGCAGTTTTTACAGATATACTGTCAGCTCAGATTCAGCCAAATGCAGCAAAGTTGATTGGATGGTGCTTCACAGTACAGATGGACAATGATCCAAAAGCTTTTGAAGAAAAAGAAATGGAATATTCTGCAATGGCTGAGTCAATCACCTGATCTCAACCCAACTGAGTATGCATTCCACTTGCTAAAGGCAAAACTAAAGGCAGAAAGATCCAAAAACAAAGAACAACTTTTTTTTTAACTTTATAACTTTTTTTTTTAATGGTTGAACTGGGTGGACTTTTGTCTTTTTTCAGCCAGACTAACTATATAACTATGTAAGACAGCTGCAGTTATGAGCCTGGCAAAGCATCAGAAAGGAGGAAACCCAGTCTTTGGTAATGTCCATGGGTTCCAGACTTCAGGCAATCATTGCCAGTAAAGGATTCTCAACAAAATATTAAAAATTAACATTTTATTTATATTATATTCATGTGTCCAATTACATTTGAGCCCCTGAAAATGGAGGGGCTGTGTATAAAAATGGTTGCAGTTCCTAAAATTTGTACTTGATATTTATGTTCAACCCCTTGAATTAAAGCTGAAAGTCTGCACTTCAAATTCATTTGGATTGTTTCATTCTAATTTATTCTGGTGGCATACAGAGCCAAAAGTATGAAAATTGTGCCTGTGTCCAAATATGTATGGACCTAACTGTATGTATGTACGTATTTTTGTATGTTTATTTAGCAGGCTCGAAGAACACTGGCTTTTTGGAACAACATATAGTCAGTTCCATAAATATTGGGACATCGACACAATTCTAACATTTTTGGCTCTATACACCACCACAATGGATTTGAAATGAAACGAACAAGATGTGCTTTAACTGCAGACTGTCAGCTTTAATTTGAGGGTATTTACATCCAGATCAGGTGAGTGGTGTAGGAATTACAACAGTTTGCATATGTGCCTCCCACTTGTTAAGGGACCAAAAGTAATGGGACAATTGGCTTCTCAGCTGTTCCATGGCCAGGTGTGTGTTATTCCCTCATTATCCCAATTACAATGAGCAGATAAAAGGTCCAGAGTTCATTTCAAGTGTGCTATTTGCATTTGGAATCTGTTGCTGTCAACTCTCAAGATGAGACCCAAAGAACTGTCACTATCAGTGAAGCAAGCCATCATTAGGCTGAAAAAAACAAGACAAACCCATCAGAGAGATAGCAAAAACATTAGGCGTGGCCAAAACAACTGTTTCGAACCTTCATAAAAAGAAGGAACGCACCGGTGAGTTCAGCAACACCAAAAGACCCGGAAGACCACGGAAAACAACTGTGGTGGATGACCAAAGAATTCTTTCCCTGGTGAAGAAAACACCCTTAACAACAGTTGGCCAGATCAAGAACACTCTCCAGGAGGTAGGTGTATGTGTGTCAAAGTCAACAATCAAGAGAAGACTTCACCAGAGTGAATACAGAGGGTTCACCACAAGATGTAAACCATTGGTGAGCCTCAAAAACAGGAAGGCCAGATTAGAGTTTGCCAAACGACATCTAAAAAAGCCTTCACAGATCTGGAACAACATCCTATGGATAGATGAGACAAAGATCAACTTGTACCAGAGTGATGGGAAGAGAAGAGTATGGAGAAGGAAAGGAACTGCTCATGATCCTAAGCATACCACCTCATCAGTGAAGCATGGTGGTGGTAGTGTCATGGCGTGGGCATGTATGGCTGCCAATGTTACTGGTTCTCTTGTATTTATTGATGATGTGACTGCTGACAAAAGCAGCAGGATGAATTCTGAAGTGTTTTGGGCAATATTATCTGCTCCTATTCAGCCAAATGCTTCAGAACTCATTGGACGCCGCTTCACAGTGCAGATGGACAATGACCCAAAGCATACTGCAAAAGCAACCAAAGAGTTTTTTAAGGGAAAGAAGTGGAATGTTATGCAATGGCCAAGTCAATCACCTGACCTGAATCCGATTGAGCATGCTTTTTACTTGCTGAAGACAAAACTGAAGGGAAAATGCCCCAAGAACAAGCAGGAACTGAAGACAGTTGCAGTAGAGGCCTGGCAGAGCATCACCAGGGATGAAACCCAGCATCTGGTGATGTCTATGCGTTCCAGACTTCAGGCTGTAATTGACTGCAAAGGATTTGCAACCAAGTATTAAAAAGTGAAAGTTTGATTTATGATTATTATTCTGTCCCATTACTTTTGGTCCCTTAACAAGTGGGAGGCACATATGAAAACTGTTGTAATTCTTACACCGTTCACCTGATTTGGATGTAAATACCCTCAAATTAAAGCTGACAGTCTGCAGTTAAAGCACATCTTGTTCGTTTCATTTCAAATCCATTGTGGTGGTGTATAGAGCCAAAAATGTTAGAATTGTGTCGATGTCCCAATATTTATGGAACTGACTATATGTTGTTCCAAAAAGCCAGTGTTCTTCGAGCCTGCTAAATAAACATAAAAAAATATGTATCTATAACAACATACTCTCATCTTTGGAGGTTTGATGTAACCATCTAATCAGACTCACAGTTCCCAGAATCTGGGAAAGTCATGTCCCACTATCACAGGGCATACCAGACTTCCTTTTTACATCTGGAGGGGGCTAGCAGCTCATCCATTGCTGTGCATCTCTGAACCACCTCAACCAGTTGATTAGAGGTTTTTGGGTATTCATGACAGACCCATAGTTGCAGGTTGACTGACAAAGGTCAAAGGTACTGTTCCATCATGACCCTCTATACCATTTGGGGTTCTGTCAAGTTCTTGCATGGCAGCCACTTCATGACTGTTACAGATTGTGTATTTGTTGTTGACTGATACTAAACAAGACAGGCTGATACTGAACTTGAAACTAAAGAGATTTACACTCTCAAAGTATGGCCACAATTTCAGCCCCACAGCAGGGCAAAACATAGAAGGCATTTAGGGCAAGTACAAATACAAGCAAATACTTTTATTTTAAAAAATAAACTAAATTTCTCCCTAATATCTATTTCTATGCTTTATGATCTTTCCCCAGGAGGGGTCTATGGTCAACACTCAGTGACAATGCTCATAGTTATCTTAACTTTTAATTGATGTCACTACCATGATCTCTCCAATCATTCAGCAACTTGTTCAGACTTCTTCTTTTTTGGGTAGAAAATATCTGAATGCTACAAATATCTTCCATAGGCTTGTAGGATACTTACAGTAGCCAGTTTGAGAACTCTGTGTCTCTACTTTGAAGAGCTCAAATCCAGAATCAATTCAACTATGACTATGTTTTCTGATAAAAACAATGCTATCATTATTGATACAAGGGAAAATTACTGGAAAAGGTAGCACTCTTGGACTGCATACCTCAACAATACTAGCCTCCTGTATCTCATTTTTCTTTATGAACAACCTATTGCCTCACTCCAATTTCCTAGTTTCATAAATACCAAGCTACACTTCCTGTAACTACTGTGTAGTTACTATTAATTTTTAATAATTGAGTCTCGCCTACATCCCTGAAAGTGTGTTGCAACTTTTCATTTGGATCTTGTGTAACAGGGGTACCAATGGGAAGTCCTACTGCTGCATTTACACACTACTTTGGAGACACAAGTCTAAAATTTAAAATGAAAAGTAACCTGGAACTATTTCCAACACCTGTCATGTAACTAGATGATGTTGCCAGCAACCCCTAAAATCTTTTGCCTACAAATCGTGATTTATCAAAAGAAAGCTTAAGGAAATCAAGTTGTTTGCAATACCTATCAGCATTTTTATCTGTGTATTCCCTACCATGTGTATAAGTGTAACGAAACATCAGATCCATTACTATTAATGTGTTCATACTTTCTCAATAAATTTATCATTTGTTCATCATCAGCAATGAATTCCTAGTCAAAAGACATATCTCTAACTTTCCATAACCAAAAGCTAGACTTTCCACAGACAAAAACAGAGCTACTTATTTCAGAAGTCAATATTTGCAAATAAGACTCAAAAGACAGAAATGCTTTGTGCAAATGCAATTTTTACATGGCAAGGACGTATTGCCCATTGAGATTTTATAGCATGACTCTGAATAGCAATGCATGGACAGTACTGTCAGAACCCACTTGGAGCCATCAGTACATGACTAGCCAGCATACAGTATAAAGCCCCATAGTTCCCAAAAAAATGTTGTGTTTAAGACCATGCACTAAATGCATTGATTCTATTGAGTTCTTTTTTGTTGTACTATTGTGAATGACAATGTAGCAGTAGAGATGGTATATTTGCATAAAGAAGTTTGCACTGGACACCACAATCTTTAGGTTATGGCACTCTGTGAGCATTAAGTTAATCAAACACCATAGTGCTCAATAAGCATTAGAATACTTAGTACCCCACTTAAGCCACAGTTAAATCTGTTGACCAGAACTTTTGGCCCTATGTTGATTAGGCTCGGTAGATTACAATGCTTTTGTCCATACTGTGTGATTTAAAAGATAGCGGATAGCCACTTACAGACCTGCCATTAAAAATAGCATTTATTTATAAACCATTTTCCATAGTTTATGCATATTTTCTCTGAATTGTTATATATGAGATAACATCTCAAATGTTTGGGAACCCTCAGAACTACACTGTTTTTGATCTTATGTCTGTAAATATATTCCATTAATGCAAACACTTACTTCTTCTACATAGGTATTTTGATGCACTTGGTAACGAAAACTTGGTTCCACTGGATTCTTCATCATGTTTTTAGCTAAGCTTTTATTTGTATAATATTGAACAAATCTTGTTCTTCTCACTAGAACATGCAAAACAAAGCAAATAAGCTCCAGTGAAATTGAAATTAAAAAGAAGATAATGGTGCTCTCTTTCTCATCTGGTAACAGCAGCTTGGTGAAGATTCGGCTGAGTGAGATGATAACTCCTGCAGTACCTGTAATAAGAAATGAAATGTCTGTTATCCTTAAAGTGTGCAGACAATCTACAACAGTAAATGTATATTTTGATACAGTAGAAATTTCCATTTCGCTCCCCTTTTTTACTAGCCCCGACCATTATAGATATCTGTAAACTGCATGAGAGTATGTTTTTTGCTTGTGAACTCTTTATAACTGGTAACGGTGTCTAAAGAAGAAAAAGAAACCGAACTTCTAGGTACGGCAAAGGCATTGGATTCTTTGGGCACAGTAAGAGACTACACAGTAAAATACATATAACCATTTATTGACATAAAAGAGTCATATATTCATGATAGGACCTATAGGACAGACATGCTCCTCAAAAAAGGGAAGAAGAGTAAAACAAGTCATGGTTATAAGCACAATGCCCCCTCATGTATGTTAAAAAAAATAGGCAATCCATAGAATCACCGTGAATACTAGCCAATTCAAGCCATATTGGTTTTATTCATGTTACTCTGGGATACCCTTGTCTTTGAAGGTACAGTTCTATATATTTCCTATTATAGGATTTTTTTTACATTACAACTGGCTTTTGTATCTTTGATTGGCTCGCTTCAAGCTCTGGTCCCCTATGTCCGCCCTCCAGACTTCTGTGCCGCCCATCCGTCCTCTCCACGTAAGCTCAGCCTAATTTTACACATATGTATCTTGTTGATCTTATGTATATTTGTATGTTTGTCTGTACATTCATTTTGTACTTTCTTTATACATGCAGCAGCATGTATCCCTCGTATCCCTCATATTCAAGCTATGGTCCTGAAGAAGCCAAATGCACAGGCGAAACGTGTTGACCGTATTTTGATGAATGCATGTTGCTACTATGTGCTTAGTGGTATTTTTTTAATATACATGAGGGGGGCATTGTGCTTATAAGTATGACTTGTTTTGCTCTTGTTCCCTTTTTTGAGGAGCATGTCTGTACTATAGGTCCTATCATGAATATATGACTCTTTTATGTCAATAAATGGTTATATGTATTTTACTGTGTGTTCTCTTACTGTGCCCAAAGAATCAAATGCCTTTGCCGTACCTAGCAGTTCAGTTTCTTTTTCTTCTGTATCAATAGGATTTGGCACCAGGAAGCTTTTTGGTATTTTTTTATGGTTAAGGTGTCTCTTTTGCCTAAGCATATTTACACGAAAAGTTCTCCTTCTGCTTCTTTCCCATCTCAGAGATTTAAAAGGTATTAGGCAGTGGAACTGATTACAAATAGCACAAACAAGGGTGCCCTCACTGGAATTTGTCCCACTGTCAAGCAAACCCCGCTCTGTGCACTTATCACAAACAGGTTAGTGATGGCGACTGAATTGTTACGCTGTCATGCTGAGCTACTGTATATGTTGCACTGTCCCCTTCATCCACAGGTGGTTGTGGCCAATACACATCTGTATCCAGGTTGGGGTAATGTTCTTTTTCCTCTGTATGCCAACTACTATTGAGGAAGCATATCAGTTGCTTCTACGTGTCAGCAGAAACATTTCCAATAGGTCTATTCTGCTGTCGAGCTACAAATCTTAGCATATCTTTCTGTGTGATCTCCCTTTTGTCTATAGAAACACAATCTCACCATGTCTCATTGGTATTTATCATCTATCTGCAGAACTAAAAGTCCAAGCTTGTCCCACTTTTTTTTTCTCATGTATCTGTCAGTGCATAAGCTGGAGCATTTTTACTCACTGCACTGATGGCCATAATACATGACACACTTCCTGAGCTAATCATTGGCAAATAATACAACACAGAATTCACACAGCACTCACTAAGAGATTTATACTGTATTCAAAACAGTGGATTACCATGGTGAGGCCTTAAGAAGGCATTAAGAATGTACTTACTTTCTCCTGTCATCACACCTTGTGTGTACCGCTTCGGTAACATTCCAGCATAGCCATAAAAGCTGGATTGCTGCACTTAGAAAAATATAAAACAGTGATAACATATTGTGCATATGAAAACAGAAACTTTCATACTTTTAAATCTTGTTTTTGCATATGTTTCTGCATAATCTCTGGTCTATTTAAAAAGATACTCCTTTTTAATTAAAAGTCATCAAAGAAAACCAATGAGCACATTCTTGAACAAATAGGGCAGTAAAGATGCAAACCTAATACATGAAACCCTTACATGCTACAGTATGTTTCAGTGTTTACAACCCCGGTACCTTATATTCCAGGATCACCAAAACCAGGGGTGCACTAGAATGCCAATAATGACTTCAGGTTACAAGTCAAGCTCTGAGTCACCGCCTTAACACCTCCCATATCTCACTTTTAGTTAGGGATGTGGTCAAGTGTATGCCCACATTCCACTTGGTAAGTTTAATTGCAGATCTGCGACTTGTAGATAATTTAAGATTAAATGCTTAATGTTTCCACTTTTGTCTAGTCCTTTTAACTGCCTACAATTATCTCTATACGTCCACCTTGAATCATATTGTGTCAAATGCTGGATATTGAACTCCTCCCACAGCTTTTCTCAAGCCACTTTCACAGTTGCTTTAAATCTCAGGCATCCACTAGACCACGTCTTGCGTTAGAAACTAAAAACATTCTGGTTTCAGTAAGACTATTGATCTATCCATGTGCATACATTTCCAAACCTCTGCATCTAAAAGTTGCTGTCTAGTAGACAGTTAAAGCTGAATTCAAGCCACAGTTTTTTTAATAGAAGTGATAAACTATATATTTATTTCTACCAATACATTTTTTTGTATCTCATTTTTGATGTTCGCATATGACCATTTGTGGTTTGAATTATTTCTGCAAATTCACCACAATAAAAAGTTATTGCTATTGAAAACAATTTGATTAGTACTGAAGGATGAATATAAATGATACAAAATAGTATTAAAGCTATACTGATCTATCTCTATGTACTACGTACTACATAATAATACAGTAGTTGTTTATAGAGGCAGTGGCAAGCTCCAACAACCATACAAAACAACATCGGACACTGGCTGATGTATTCTGCCTTTACAACTCTCCTTCACCAGAGGCCCCTCTCCCCACCATCATTTCCTGTTGTCTGTCTTACCTACATAAACTTTATTTTCTCTGGATTTTTTCTTAGGTCACAGCAAAGCATATAGTAGCATCTTGCACAGTGAACTTGTCTTTTTTTAACACATTTTGGTCTGTTAAATACACCATTGCAAGAGTTACGTCATGTTTGTATGATAGGCGGAAAAAATACCTGTTGATTTTGCCAGTTACATTATTCTCATCTATCTCTAAGGAATACAGGAGCTATGCTCCTCTTGGTTATAAAAAGGAAGAGAAAGGTAGGGTCCTGTAGCCCTATGTGGTTATGATTTCATGATACAGTAGAGTAAGAGGAAATCCTATCCACCATGAAAACTTTTAGTCTGCCTAATCCACATTCTAGATATCATTAGTATACTGTAAGCGTTGATAGTTAGGCTACTCATTAATTCTACCCTGTGGGGCAATACTCATTTGTAATAAAATATCGCTCAAATGCATTTATATCACTTACCTGTGCATCCAAAAGCCACCACACCAACAGCAAAAAGGTTAACAGCATAGGACTGCTTGAATGTAAAGAGCTCCAGCCAAATATCACAAATGCCAACAAATATTAACGGGCTCAAAGCAAAAATATAGCCTGTGATTTAAATATAATCAATATAAGTGTCACTGATAGAATTAACGCATCAACATGTACATGCAAATATACTATTTAAAAGTGTTGATTTTAAAATTATCAAATTAAAATTCTTCGAATGGCCACTTATTCTCTATCAGTACATTTCAATGTTCAGGGAGAACCTTCTTCTGGAAAGGAAGAATTGACATTTATGCAAAGGGGTTGTCCTAAAAAATATTTTAAAATATGGGACCCATGGTTGTCATCTACAGAATCAACATATGTTTCACCAATGTGCTCTCTTGTTTAGATAGCATGTGCTGTATCTATATTAGCCAAAGCTTCCAGAAATTCCCAGTTATGACATTTATTGTTTTAGTTAACATGACCCTGTCTATTCCTTAGATGAAAAGTTTGTGTTCATGTCTGTGAATCATCTGGAGTATATTGTGGTTTATTGTGCTATCATGAAAGGCCCGATGTCATGTACCTAGTTATTGGTTTTCTTTGTTTTTATGTAAAAGTCGCCTACTGGGTACTGCTGGGTTTTTGTTTTTTTTTGTTGGGTTGTCTAATTGAATATGTATATTCAATTAGACAGTGCAGAAAAGAAAAAACAAAACAGCAGTGTCCAGTAAATTCAATAAAAATTACCTGATGCAAACAAAAAAAAAAAAGTTCAAGGAGTGGTATCTTATTAGGCACAGTAGGTTTGTGTTTATACACTCCACATGCAAAGAGGCAACGTTTCCCTGTATAGTTATCAGCCATGTATTTTTTGCATGTAGAATTGTGAGAATCTCCTATAGGCTGATTTTCAGATTGTCACAAAGCCAGGTAGGAATCAGTAAGAAAAAAATAATAAATAAAATAAATGCTTCAATCCCTTAATCATTTATACTGCCCATGTTCTTTCTCTCCCTGAGGCCGGTCACAGGAGGGGCTCTTACAAGGAGAATTTCCATTTTTTGGATAGAGTGTGGAAAGGTAGATAAGCTTGTTGAGTTTTAATGCTGCCTCTGTCCCCCCTAGGGAGATTCAAATCTAAAAAATACATTTGGGGATTAGGTATTAACAACACATTCAATATCTTAATACCCAATTAAAGCAATTAAGCTGCTACAGTTTAAATTAATCAGTGATTAACCTGTAAATTACATTTTTGAAATGTATTCTGAAGTGAAATTTTACATATACAAAAAATTAAACACAGTGCTTACAAACACAAATCCCCCAGTGAAAAACAAATCAATTCCCCCCAACCCCAAGATATCACTGCTATGACATTTCAATCAGTCAAACAAAAAAATCTATAATATCTTGTTGTTAACCATCAACAATCTCTGTGTTATGCTCCTCACCAGTATTTCATTCTTCATAGTGACTCTGAAATTATACTCAACATTTCGGAACTTGCGCATTATTGTTTTATTTAAGATACAGGTCTCCTAAAAGACCACAGTTAACCATGAATTATCAAGAATTTATGATGCACTTACTTTTTACATTTATTTTAACTTCCGTCATGACCTCAGTCCCAGAACCTTTTTCTCCCTATGCCCTCCTTGAGTCACAAAGCAATTTTTATTTTGTAAAAGTATGCGTTCTGCACCTAGCACTTTTAGGCTTCTCTAGGTGACCCTAATTTGTGCAAAATTGTTTTTTGGATAGATAGTGCTTTAGTTTAGTGTCGGGTTTGCATACATATTTTTTATTTCATAGGTTTTAATTTAGAACAAATGGTGAAAATGTTGAAAAAAAAATACATCCAAGGTGTTACAGGGTGTCTTCCAACCACTAAAAATGTGCACATTTGGAGACAAAAGAGTTCATATTGTTTTGAGATAGACAAAACAAAAACTAATCACAGATAGATAATAGGCGGGATTGTAAATATCATTGTATAGAAATACAGAACTTCTGGCAGTGGTAATTAATTGGTTTTATTAAGATTACATTCTTAGTAAGTTGCTAATGATTTATGGAGTGATGCAACTTAGCTATATAGTGTATATGCAGTGATATAATTTGTATATGGAGCAAGAAAGTGAAGGGATAGGTGAGCAAAGTGGGGTTTATTTACTAAAGCTGGAGAGAGAAAATCAGGCTCACTTCTGCATAGAAATCAATCAACTTTTCTATTAAGTTTTGGCAATAAAATCTGGAAGCTGATTGGTTTCTACCCAGAAGTAAGCCTGATTTTGCACTCTCCAGCTTTAGTAAATAAACCCCAGTGTGTGGTGCAACATAAGGAAGATAGAAGGTATGTTACCAGATGAATTAAGTTGGCAAATTCAATGGGTCTTGCCTTAGTCACACAGTCTATGATTACCTTTTCTTCAAGGGTGGACTATAAGGATTGTTTCCTAAATTATATGTTGTGATTTATAGTGCTTGATAGTGCTTGTATGCACTTAAAGGATAGGTTCATCTTTGGGAACATGTTAGATGTTCTACCCATTTTTAGGGCGGAACATTTAACAGCTGCTGCCCGATCACTCCCCTCCCTGTGACAGCACTATGGGGAGAAGTTTCCCATACAAGCTGTCACTTTTTAAAACCACCGCAGCCGTGCAAAGCTCCACCCACATGCGTCATTTATTCACAGAGTTCTGTGAATGAATGAACTACAAGTCCCAACAGCCTTAGCAGCTGTCGGCTTCTAGTTCTCAATGAACTACCACGGCGCTGTAGAGCGCCATGGTAGTTTATTGATTCTTCTTGTCAGTAAACCTGCCTGCTTGTACATCCCGTATGGGCAAGAAGGTATGCTGACAGGTCTGCAGGAGATCTGCATGGCACCAGCAATCTACTGTCTATGAATTTGATGGTGAAGGATAACACTGCATATAATTTAGAAAGGTGCCTATTAAACACTGAAGAAATAGTAGGAAGAAGATATTCAGGGCCCATTTATGCTGCACTGTGGCATCATTCATTTAGAATGTTTTTAATAAAAATATTTTTTTTAGTAATTTATATATGAAGTGATGCAGCATACCTATAGAGCGTTGTGTTTGTATCAGAGTCTTGTTTTCATATTCTTAAAGAGCTGGAACTGGGTGGGAATATTACATTTTAGGAGCATGGAAACTATTATTATTTATGTTGAGAAAGGGGAGAGTTTCCTGAAACACATTCTGTGAAGCCTTGTGCCGGCAATGTAACTGAGAAGCTGAGGACACTTATTGCACAGTGGGTAACGTTGTGATTTTGCATGTACTCTGAGACTCACAGATGGACCTTTCTGTAATAGCACTTGCTGCCGCAGTGCCTGTAGGACCAGTCCTGGAAGCCCCCGTTCATTCTTCTTTCCATATAGCCATTTCACATCATGAAACCAATGTTTTCTTTTCAATACATGTCTGCTTACTACACCATGGATGGTACTTGTTGTCTTTTTGATAAAGTTTTACTTATCTGCTGCCTTCTCACTTTCAGGGCCCCTATCAACACTGTGACTGCAGGTTTAAAGGCACTCCAAAGTTTGAGGGACAACTGAGATTTATCAAATCAAAATATCTAAATATTAACCTCAGAAGGTCTGAATATAGAATCTTAAGAATTATTTTTTACTAGTGATCGGTTTTTATGTATTATATTTAATACATATTTTATATGTATTTTATACACTCTGTATAGCTTTATTTTGATTATCATTATCAAATCAAATATCTAAAGGAGATGGAGACCTGAGTTTTTTGTGTGAAAACATTGAGTTCAGAAGGTCTGAATATAGAATCTTAATAATTATTTTTATTAGTGATCGGTTTTTATGTATTATATTTAATACATATTTTATATGTATTTTATACACTCTGTATAGCTTTATTCTGATTATCATTATGAAAAGATGTACCATTTTAGTACTATTTTCAGTGTGATGAGTAATTCCCTATTGTCATCTTACTATGTTACATAGTTACATAGTTAGTCTGGCTGAAAAAAAACAAACGTCCATCCAATTAAACCATAAAAAAAAGTTATAATCCTACACCCACAGTTGATCCAGAGGAAGGCAAAAAAAAAACCCCAGCAAAGCATGATCCAATTTGCTCCTGCTGTGAAAAAAATTCCTTCCTGATCCCCTGAGAGGCATTTTTAATATATTAACATATTTTGATTATAAAGGATTAAATACATAGCTTTTTTACTGCTTGCAGGTCCATGCCCTCCTACCTTAGCTACAGTATGTATGTGCCCATTTGCCAAGAGCTATTCTTTGACAAAACGGAGGGCCCTTATCATACTGCAGTGTTGACTTCAGGATCAGAAGTGTGGCAGGGTTGCCAAAATGCTGCCCTGAAAACAGTGAGCACAAGTGGTTTTTTCATGTCATCTTTACCAACAAGGCCCTGATATGTGCTTCTGCAATCCTGGGTTGTGAGTGCTATATATTGTCAAGTTTATTTTTAATATTTAATATTTGAGCATGCACCAGCTTTTTTTTGTTCTCTTGAAGGAATAATTGTGAGCAAACAGTGAGCTGAAGGTTCTGATCAGAACTGAGATGTGTTTACTGTGTACAATTGGAAACTGGCATACATATACTTCTGCAATGCTTTTATACTAGGTGGCTAAATCTGGACGTTTGTCAATTCACTTACCTTTATTTGGCATATTTGCCCCATGAACAGGATTTTGCTTATACACTCCCCAACATTTGCCACTCTCTAGAATTACAGGTCACAATGGCTGCAGTGTTATTACACTTTGATTAATATAGTGTATTAAATAAATGTTATTATTCAGTTTGTTTTCTATTTTTTCTCTATTTAATGGCTTACATAAGAAATTTGCCATGATAAAAAAAACAAAGGGAGACTTATTATTCCATAAAAAATTTAGCTAGTTGTGATGTTTCTAAAAACCAATGCTTACATATGAATTGTAAACCCTGCCTGAATATGCAGTGTGGCAATTCAAGCATATGTATGTAAAATGTGTAATTACCTGTAATTAATCATACTTTAGGAGTCAAGACCAACATTATTTAATCTTAGTGAACCCTAGCCCTTGAAATGTGCCCGTTTGTGTTAACAGACAAAATCTGCTTCACTGACTGAAAGCATAAATTTGTTTTTGTTACTTACCAGCGGTGATCCTTGTGTTTGTAGTAAGAAGCTCCACCATAGCATTATTAAGGACAACAGCAGCTAAAGCTACAATGATATAGGTCAGACTCATATCAAACACTATAGATGTGCCTGAAAGCAAATGACAGCAAGTAAATTAAATATTGAAATAATATCCTGCGATATTTCTTTATTCATTCCAAACAAATAACTGACAAATTGCAAAATCTAAAAACAGAAACAAAATGCACACCCTTAAAATCATACTATTCACATATTTTTTTTAAACATGGAAACCAGTAACACTTTTTTTTTTACATTTTTATTTTATTTTTTTTTTATTTTTTTTTTATGTATTTATTATTTTTTTATATAATGTCACCCTAGCAGTAAAATGCTAATTTTTTTTTAAATTGCTTTTACAGACATGCTGGCTGTAAAAGCAATCATTTCTCACTCACTCTGGCTGCATTCCAGCAGCCATTGAGAAATACTGTGAGAGCTGTGATTGGTCACAGCTTATCACATGGTACGAGGCCTCTGTAATTGATCATAGAGCTTACAGTAATAAACAATGATGCCAGGAAATGAGATCTTGTTTACTACTGTGCATGTAATCGCTGATTGGCAAATCAGTGATCACTTGGTACTGGGGCTGCCCACAGCGGCCTGGTGCAGCGATCCTGTTCGGACACAGCGGGCACTGATCACACTGCTGCATGCTTCCAGGAAGCGCACACAGGTGGTAGATGTGGGTGAATGTTTAGAAACGTACATCCGCATCGGCCATGTTTCCATATGGCCATTTATGTGGATAGGCCAGATGGGAAGAGATAAAAATCACAAGAGTTGCAAGAATTCATATCTTTGTCTTATTTATGTAACTTTGACTGTGACATGATCTGATTCCAGAGGGTTTTTTTATACCCTCTAATCCACTCCCAGTCCATTTTCTGCTGTGTCACACTCTGTATTGTGTTGATTGCCCAAACCAAAGTCACATAAACATCAAAGTCGCATGAAGTCACACTGAAGTCACATGAAGTTGCAATGCAAAGTTGCACAGCTTTGGGGTTGCAGCAACATGAACTGAGCCTAATAATTGAAAATATGATACGGAACCCAATAACAGCTCAGTTACCTAAAATTTGGGACAGTATGAAATCTCCGTATCTCTCTTTTACCACTTAGACGATTACAATCATTCTTGTGAAGTCTATCTTTTTCTCTTACCAGGTATGGGAAGATTCTCTCTATGGTCCTTCATCAGTATCATGCAACTCTCTATGTGTTTCTTCACAAATGAGTTTAAATATAATATTTTTAATACAGAACTATTTCGATATTTTAAGATCAAGAACTATATATTGTACATCATAAAAGCCTCTGACTTCTGCCACTTTCACCTTGTCTGAGCTGAAGTATCTAAAGCACACATAACCCAGGTCTAATCTTGAGATTCTACCCCACAGTTGTAAATTCCCTGTACAAGCTCTGCCAGTGTATGTGAGACTGAACTATAGTCAGGAAAAACAAGAAACGAGGAAGAAAAGAAAAATGTATGAAAAATCAGAAATATGTAAACTCAGACACAGTTGTTCAGTGGGAAAAGGGAGGATGAGCAACTACTATGTGTCATTTTTTTTATGTAGAGGGTGTAGATCGGCACACACTGGTTTGTCCCTGGGAACAACAGTCTTAATGATGGAATGGCCTATCCTTAACTCCAGCAGAGGGTGTCACTGTGGTTGGTAGATGTTGTCTACTTCATGGCAGCCCTCAACAGGGAGAGGAAGCACTCTCCAGGTTCATGCAATGAAAAACAAGAAGAAAGGCACCTCTGAGTGTAGACATTTGATGTAACATTTAACACACCTGGAAACTTGTGGTGCAGATAGTCCACATCTGTAATAAAACTGTTATATGGAAGCAGGAAGCCAACTCCAGCAAGCAACATAGCAAAGTATATTCCATGATAACGGTCCATCGGCTCTGGGTTTGGATCTTAATGAAAAAAAAAATACAATTAAAAAAAGTAAGAGAAAGTATTTTTTTGAGCATGTCCACATATTAGTACGAAAACTTTAAGGGACTGTTCATACCATGCCCACATGGATCACATGAGCTGTGTGTTGCTATGTGAATCACATGCAGTTCTGTGCGGTGGAATTTCAGCCCATTTATTTTTAAAGCAGAACTCCGGGCAAAAACTTCTCTACATGTTGTAAGGCCAATGTGGTGCCTATATATAAAAAGGATCCAAATCTTACCAAGTAATTATAGACCTGTTAGTTTAACTTCTATAGTTGGGAAGATACTGGAGAGTTTAATAAAAGACCACATAGATGAGTTCTTGCTTGAAAAAAACATTTTAAGCAACAGACAGCGTGGATTCATGAAAGACAGAAGTTGTCAAACAAATCTGATTTCTTTTTATGAGGGGGTGAGCAAAACCTTGGACAGAGGGGGGTGGCAGTGGACGTGGTATACTTGGATTTTGCAAAAGCGTTTAACACAGTTCCCCACACATGGCTAATGTGTAAGGTAAAGTCTACGGGCTTGGAAAAATCTGTATGTAAATGGATAGAAAACTGGCTAAAAGATCGTATTCAGAGAGTAGTGGTTAATGATTCATACTCTGAATGGTTTGGGGTCATCAGTGGTGTACCCCAAGGTTCAGTGTTGGGACCCTTACTTTTTAATATATTTATAAATGATATAGTGTCTGAGATTAAAAATCCCATTTCAGTCTTTGCATATGACACCAAGCTGTGCAGTGGAATAACATCCTTACAAGATATCTCCAACTTAGAAGCCGACCTCAATGCACTGTTTAATTGGGCAACTATGTGGCAAATGAGGTTTAATGTTGGTAAATGTAAGGTTATGCACTTAGGAGCTAAGAATATGCATGCATCATACATACTGGGGGGGGGTACAACTGGGGGAATCAATGGTGGAGAAGGATCTGGGGGTTCTGGCAGATCACAAGCTTAATAATGGCATGCAATGCCAAGCTGCGATTTCTAAAGCGAGCAAAATCCTCTCTTGTATTAAAAGAGGTATAGACTCCAGAGAGAGAGATATCATATTACCCCTGTACAAATCATTAGTAACACCTCATCTGGAATATGCAGTTCAGTTTTGGGCACCAATTCCCAAAAAGAACATTGGGGAACTTGAGAAAGTACAGAGAAGGGCAATTAAATTGATACGAGGCATGGAGGAGCTCAGCTATGAGGAGAGATTAGAGGAACTGAATTTATTCTCTCTTGAGAAGAGGAGATTAGGGGGGATATGATCAACATGTATAAATACATCAGTTGTTCATATAGTGAACTCGGTGTAGAGTTATTCACCTTGAGGTCATCACAGAGGGCAAGGGGGCACTCTTTATGTCTGGAGGAAAAAAGATTTAATTTCCAAATACAGAAAGGTTTCTTCACAGTAAGAGGTATGAAAATGTGCCATAGACTCCCTCAAGAGTTGGTTCTGGCCAGCTCAGTAGATTGCTTTAAAAAGGCCTGGATTCTTTCCTAGATACACAGAATATAACCGGATACTAACAAGTTGATCCAGGGAATATCTAATTGCCACTTGGGGGATCAGGAAGAATTTTTTTCCCCTGCAGGAGCAAACTGGATCATGCTTTGCTGGTTTTTTTGCCTTCCTCTGGATCAACTGTGGGTATAGGATTATCACTTTTTTTTATAGTTGAACTAGATGGACTTTTGTCTTTTTTTGGCCAGACTAACTATGTAACTATGTCCTTGTTGCTGATTCCCTACCTTCACTGAATAGGTTATCCATGTTCTTGTAAACTCAGTAGTTGCTCAGATATAGCCTGAACATTTTCAAATCAGACCATTAATTCCCAGGGGTTTTCCTGTTTGTAAGACCGGTAGCTGCTTTTCCTCCTATTCCTCCAGCCACCAATCTCGGCCCTTCTCATCTGTAGTTCAGTCTACAGGAAGCAGGGATGTACTTACATTACTGCTTGCTGTAGTGGGCAGAACAGGACTCAGAGACCACCGGTCTGTAACGCCCATGGAGGTGGGGTGCTAAAAATGACAGCCACCTCTGATAGGCTGCACTGGCTGGAGGAGGAAGATACTGCTGGAACACAGGAGGACTGACCACAGACTCAGCGCTCCTCTCACAGCCAGATGAAACAGTTCTGCAGCAGATGGTAAAGTCTGCAAGAGTCGGGAGAAAGCCAGCTGTCAAAACAGAGCGGTGATGTTGGGGGTGGGCGGGACCGGAGCTTTTGACAGCTGCCTCGGTCCCTCCTACCTGGATGACAGGGGCAGCAGGTGGCATTTAGAACAACCAATGCTCTGTACTCTCCTCCCTGCAGCCACTGAATACCTGTGGGAGGGGAGTAGAAGGAGGCATTCAACTGCAGAGAGGAGAATGAAGAGCATTGGTTGCTGTATATGCTGCCTGCCACCCCTCTCATCCAGCCTGCCATGTGTTTCTGGCAGCTACTGGTTGCTGCGACTGATGGCTCCACCTCCTAGCCCCGCCCCTCGACTTAGCTGACGCTTCTTTGTTCTCGGCCACAGCAGTGCCCAGCACTATGCCAGCAGTATATGATGTGTCCTCCTATCACACTGCTTCCCTCCTCCACCTGTCACACTGCCCCCCTCTCCTGTCACACTGCCCCCTCCACCTGTTACACTGCCCCCCCCTGCTGTCACACTCCCCCACCACTCCTGTCAAACTGCCCCCCTCTCCTGTCAAACTGCCCCCCCCCCTCTCCTGTCACACTAGCCCCTTTCCTGTCACACTGCCCCCACCACTCCTGTCAAACTGCCCCCTCTCCTGTCAAACTGCCCCCCCTCTCCTTTCACACTGCCCCCTCTCCTGTCACACTACCCCCTTTCCTGGCACACTGCCCCCCACCTGTCACCTACCCCCTTTCCTTGCTGCCCCCCACCTGTCACATTGCTCCTACCACCTGTCACACCGCCCCCCCACCTGTCACACTGCCCCCTCCTGTCACACCGCCCCTACCACCTGTCACATCGCCCCCCCTCCTGTCACAGTGCCCCCCTCCTCCTGTCACACTGCCCCCCCACACCTGTCACACTGATGTAATAGTGCCTGTCCCTGTGACCCTACAGGAGGGAGACTTCTCACTTTCTGTTTCTGTCACCCCACCAGAGGGAGACTTCCTTTTTATGTGACACCACTGAATGGAGACTTCCTGTTTCTGTGACCCCACTGGAGGGAGACGTCCCCTCACTTCTTGTCCCCATGACACCACTGGAGAGAGAATTCCAGTTTCTGTGATCCCAATGGAGGGAGACTTACCCTCACTTCCTGTCCCTGTGACACTAATGGAGTAAGACTTCCTGTTTCTGTGAAACCAATGGAAGGAATCTTCCCAACAATTCCTGTTGCTGGTGATCTCATTGGAGGGAGACTTCCCCTCACTTCCTGTTTCTGTGACCCCCACCAGAGGCAGATTTTCCCTCACTTCCAGTCCCTGTTACCCCACTATAGGGAGACTTCCCCTCACTTCCAGTTTCTGTGACCCTACTGGAAGGAGACTTCCCCTCACTTCCAGTCCCTGTAACCCCACTGGAGGGAGACTTCCTTTCACTTCTTTTCCCTGTGATCCCACTGGAGGGGGACTTCCCATCACTTCCTGTCCCTGTGACACCACTGGAGGGAGACTTCCCCTCAGTTCCTGTTTCTGTGACCTCACAGAGGGAGACTTACCCTTACTTCCTGTCCCTGTGACCCCACTGGAAGGAAACGTCCCCTCACTTCCTGTTTGTGACCCCACCGGAGGGAGACTTCTCCTCCCTTCCTGTTCCTGTGACCTCACAGAGGGAGATGTCCCATCACTTCCTGTCCCTGTGACCCCACTGGATGGAGACTTCCCCTCATGTCCTGTTTTTGACACACCAATGAAGAGAGACTTCCTGTTTCTGTGACTCCCCCCCCCCCCCCCCACTGGAGGGAGACTTCACCTCACTTCCTGACCCTGGCACAGGAACATCCATAAAAACATTATCAGAGGTTCAGCACCTTCCTTGCTACAAATGTGGTCTTGTCTGTGATCCCATGGGATACATTGCAAGTCATCTCCTGTAGTATGGCTACAGTGTCTGATCAATTAGTTTATCTGCTGTTGTGGTTGGAGGGGGAGAGATTGCATGTGATGAGAGCAGCCACAGCCAGAAACAGAAAACCTAGAGGGGGGAGAATTCAATCTAAAGTAGACTACATAGAATGAACTACACGTTGCACATGCATGCTTTACATTTATAAGATTGTCACCTGTGCTGCTGTGTGGTTGGAGGTTGATGGGAAGTGTAGTTTCTTGAGAGGACAGGACATGATGTAGTCCCGGCTGTTACACTTCCTCAGAGCAGATACTGTTATCTTTTGAATTCCAGATATGACTTCCTGAGAATTCAGCTAGACATTTCTCTTTAATGGTAAGGGATTTCACAAATGTATTAACTGTTTAGTGTTTTGTGTAGGGGGTGTACTAATGGGTGATTTTTTTTTTTGCCAGAGTTCTTCTTTAAGGAGCTAAAATCACACTGCACCAATAGTAGTGCATGCACTATTTTTAAAACACACTGCAACTGAATAGCATGGTGCAAAAGTAGCATGTGATCCAGTTTGGGCAAACGCACTGCGTTTGCAACCTGTGTTTGGGGTGTTGTTAACTTTGTATTTATACCCGTTGCAGATTGCCAATGGAGTGCTTTTTGCATGCGGTGTGAATCACACGGTAAAGCACAACGTGTTCCTGTGCGATTCATGTGTGGGCATGGTGTGAACTGGCCCTAAGTGTTTTAAATCCTACATACAAAAATAAACACACTTAAGTTCATTTAAAAATCTTTTTGAAGGCATTTTAAAATTGTGATGTTTGTGTGGAAAAGTAAAGTCCTGCCTTCTTAAAACATGCATGCCTTCCCACCTCGGCAAAAGGACTTGTAGTTCTCAGTGGAACACGAGTGTAACAATCGCCATACTCGTAG